CTATAGCAGAGTTCAAAGGAGATCGGTAAATAAATTGGAGAGTGAAACACTGAACAATAACGGTGACATGACATACTGAATAGCTGCTCATTAGAAAGGCAGTGTCCATCCAGGGACTAAAGAAGCCAAAATCCATGTGAAAAACAGTGAAGCCAGGTAATTAAAGAGCTGAGTTACTATGTCCATGCACAGAGGGAACAAATCCAAGGTTGCAAAATGACTGTGATCCAGGCATTCTCCAAGCTTGACTTTGCAACCTCTGTAATAGTCTCTTAACCTATGACGTCTTTTTTTTTTTCTTTTCTCTTCTTTTGGTAAAAACTTCCTCATGGCCTATATCTCATTAACCTCTGTGCCATCTTATTAACACCTATGTGTCTGTGGCTGCAGCAGGATCAAACAAAACCATGTAACTTCCCCCCTGAGAGAGCAGCGGGGGTTGTCGAGCACTCGGTGAGGCAGTAGGAGAGCAGAGCACCACGCTTTGCCCGGTGACTGCGTGGGGGTTTGCAGAAAGCGGGGAACGAGGAGACTCGGGGATACTGGACCCCTCCACAGTCTCCTGCTAGGATGTGGCCAACGTGCAGCCTGGTCTTTCTGTCTGCTTCTTCCAGCTATATCCCTTTCTGTTTGTCTTTAACCAAGGTCCTCTCTCAGACCTCTTTCCCCTGCCTCCCCTGTCACTTTACCTGGCCAGCTCTTCCCTTCTGGCCTTGTGGGTCAAGTCTAGATATCTGCCCTTGCGCTCGTGTCTGGTTTATGTGCCCAGCTGTCCCTGTCATCACATCTCCGGTCTCCACCGCTCCTCCAGCCTCTGCCCACTGCATCCAGCTCTGAGTCCTCCTCCCCGGCTCCTAGGTCACTCTCTGGCCCTCCATGATGAATAAAATACCAGCTCCAATGGGTGAAGACTGGCAAAATTTTAAGCACCCGAGATCTTTTCACCTCAGGCATTTGAGGGTGCCCCCATCTCTTCCTCTCACCTCCAGATTGCCAAAGCTGAGGAGTGATGGAGACGGGTAAAGAGCAGCGCAGTTGGCCGCCCTTCCTCACAACCTGGCTTGAAGGAGAGACGTTTCCTACTCACCAGACAAAACCAGAGAAGTCCATATGGTCGACATCTTGCCTCGAGCAGTGCCTGCAATGGCCTTGGGCCCCCTGCGCTGCCGAGGTGTCACCTCCACTGCTTTGCTTCCAACCTCGCCGTCACCCAGGAGACGATGTCACAGACGCGCCAGTGCCCCTCCCTCCGCTGCTCCCGCTTCCCCTCCACCTCCCCGCCTGCCCTGCTGCCGGGCCTGCAGGCTGCCCGGCCCTGGGTTTGTGTCGGGGAAGGCCGCGGTGGCTGCCTGTGTGAGGCTGAGTTCGGACACGGGCCACCTCCTGTGGTAGTGGGGTCTGCCCTCCTCCTCGCTGTGCCGTCGAGTCCAAACTCGGAGAAGGCATCCACAGAGGATGTTTGGTTTCTCTGAGTTGACACCCACTGCAGCTTTCTGTTCTCCATGCCTCTCCTGCCTCCTCGAGGCTTGTGGTCTCAGTGATGGCTCGCCCACGCCTGGCTAGCTGCAGAGGCCCCAGAGGGGCTGCTCCATGAAGCTTGGAGCGGCTCATTGCCTCCGCATGCTACAGGTCACCCCTCTCATTCTTCGTTCAGCCTCATAAGGACTAGGTTATCTCATCAGCCAGGACGCTGCCTGGGGACTCAGCTTTGACCAAACATGGCTGCTCCGGAGACCGGCACCTTGTGCCTGTCTGGTGCTTGGTGGTGGTTCAGGTTTCCTTTGTTGTTTAGGGACGGATCTTTACTACCCATTGCTTAATGTGCTTTTCTGCGGTGTCCCACAACCGCCTGGCTCTGCACAACATCAGCTGTCTCCTGCACCTGTTTTTCTGCCTTCTGTAGGTGCTCACCCACCATGTTAGGGTCCATGTTGACCATGTGCTCGCAGCAGCTCTCAAATGACAGCAGGAAGGGACTGAACCAGAAGACAGCAGGAAGGGACGGAACCAGGTGGCCTTTTCTCTCCTCCTCAAATCAGGAGGATGGCTCAGCAGGGTCAGGCTTACCTGCAGAGCAGCACTGCCTCGTAGGTGGATGGAGGTTTTATGGGGAGGGGAACCTTGGCTTCCCTGCCTCCTACCTAGGATGGAGAGCCTGCAGCCACTGCCTGCTGCCGGGAGGAGTGGAAACACCCTCTCCCCAAGGAGTGCTGCCTACCGAATCCACTGTGGAGGAGGCAGGCAGCAGGGAGCAGAAAGGACGTGACTCCAGGCTGAGGCAGAGCCAACAAAATGTCAGCTCTCCGTTTTATCAGGGCCCTTCTTTTATCGTGGTGGCGTTATGCAGGTGGGGAAATCTTCCCTCTGTCCTCGGGAGGATCTGGCAACTGACGTCTATTGCAATACCTTCCTCTGGTACACCACTGAGCAGTCAGTTCAGTTTTTTTCTCATTTGGAAAGGAAAAGATGCTGGTTTACATTTCTTTTTCTTATGAACACCCATCATGAGTAATTTTACACTTGTTCCTAGTGGCACGGTGGCAATCCATGTGATCAAAATGGTGCAATGCCGTTGCAGAGCTGACATTCACATGTGCCGTTTTTAAGCATTTTTCTTTCTGCAACCTGTACATTTCTAGGACATCACTGAGCCCTCAGCCTCTTAAAATGCCTCTGTACAAATATCATTGTGCAAATGTAGTGCTAAAGCTAAATGGGTGACCTAATTTTCTATCCCACAAACTCCAGTCCCGCACAGTCTACTTCTGCTGTGAAAAGAGATCCTTGAGAAGTGGGATTGCATGTTGGCTGTCAAAACTGACCAGATTAAATCATCTCAGTGTTCATGCATAAACACGTGTGACTGGGTTTTTTTTTTTTTTGTGCTCACTGCCAACCCTGTAAACTCTATCTGGAACGAGGCAGCCAAATTGCCATTTTTCTGGAGCACAGGCAGGAAATTCTGCCTTCGGACTTCTGTCGATAACGTGTGAGCAGACCAAAATCTCTTCTCTCACCCAGACCTGTGCGTGCCTGGCTGAGCCACTGAGAGCAACCAGGCAAAATACTGCTTCGGTAAAGGCAATAAATGGAACTCCAGACAATGCAGAAAGCAGCCCAGTTGTGAAGGCGGTATTCTTCCTCCACCTGTGGAACAGAACTGCATTAACTACATTATGTTCTCATTTAGCTCACTAGAAAGAAAGGCGATGGAGAGAAAATGGTTTGAGGAATTGGTATTTTTCTTATACAAAACTCAGTAGGAGGCATTTTTGGTCTGGAAGTGCAGCTGGAGGACAATCCGGACACAGTAAGCTGGCAGGCAGCTCTCCACAGCATGTGTAGGTGACCCCGTCTTGGCTACATGAGCTGGCCCTGGCTATTGGACCTGAACAGCAGTGTCACGGTGTGCGTGGCAGAACAGACAGTGACCCTGACTCATGTTTCTGGGCATCATTTTCGTCTGGTCTAGGTTGCTTTGGTCTCCTAAATACTTATTCTCCTGTAATCTCACACTACAGCAGCGCTTCTGTGACGGGTATTTATTACATCTGTTTTCTTTCCTCTGATCAGGATCTGCAGTCCCTGACTTGGCTTTAACCTCCTGGATGGAGTGAAGAGAAACAGCTTTGTGACCAGAAGAGGCTAAAACCAAGACAGCAGAGAGATTGCTCATAAGGTGAGAAATTGAATAGAGCATGTCTGAGAAGGGAGGAGAAGAGCTGAATGCTGAAAATTTGGTGTGTACTGTGCTGCAGGCTCTGTACTCATCCTACCTTTTCTGCTCCTGTACTGTACAGATTCTGCTTTCAGGAAGATTCATGGTCAGGATGTGATAAAGATGAAACACACTCCTGGGGTATCTAATACTCTTTCAAAAAGACCCTATCCAAAATGAAATCAAATCCTGTGTATTTTTCAGCAAAGACTATACTCTGAATATTAGAAGGCATAACTAACCAAGTGTAGCTTTTGCTTCCTTTCACATTGGCAATATTTTTAATGTTTTATTGGTCAGTTCTCTGCCTTGAGGTGCATGCCTTGGGTCAGTGCTATCCCTTTATTTGCACTACAAATGTTTTTCAGATCTGAGTGTTGTAAACAAAACTTTGGGAATTAGTATAACCAGTGTGGTGGTGTCTTTCAAAATCTGCAGATCACCTGAAACAAAACCTGAGGGGTTTATTCTGCTGCATTCTCCTCATGTTCTGAGCTCCCACATGTAAGAGGATGATGTTAACTCTGAAAGCAGTGCCACCCAACTAATCAGCTTACCTCACTCTCCAGCATCCATTTCTGAGGTGTGTTCTCCATATGAGTATAACTAATAAAAAATCAGGAGCCTCTAAGTGTTTCAGTCTAAATGTTCATTTCCATACTTGATTAATAAAACAGTTTATCTTTCCACTCACTTGCCTATCTGTTCATCAGACAAAATCTAGATACAATTTGCTGCAGAGTATGTAGGCCTTTCTTTTTAAGGAAAAGAGCTATAACTGGAAAGAAGGAAAAAAATGGTCTACTAGGCAGGGGTGGATGTTCCTGTGGTGTTGGCTGCTTCCTTCCTTGATTAAGTATGGGAATGCTGGAAGAAGAGCAGTGATTCATAGGCAACAGGAAAAGAAGCAACTACAGTGGGGGTTGTTGAGGAGAGCAGTGATGATGTTCCTCTAACCTCGCTAGACATGGGAACATTGAGGACAAGCAGGTGACAGGTTTTGTCCTTTAGGGCTGTAACTTTATGACAGGACCCTCTTTGCAATCTGTGCTACAGTGGCCGCCCATCCTCGGTTCACACTCCCTTCCCGCTCTTCTCGGTGTCTGTGCCCTCACTCTCTGCCCAGAGAAGATACCAAGGGGCTGGTTCCTGTGCTGGTAGCTAGTGGTGGCTGATGTGCAGCAGGTCTCTGTGGTTGCCCTGTTTGGACTTATCCCTCAGAGAAGCAGGGGGGAGTTATTCATTGCTAATTCCTCTGTTCACTCCAGCAGGTGACAGGACCATGGGCGACACACAGAAGGGCAAGCTTCATCAGGAAAGTCCTGTGAGAGCAGAACTCCATCTGTTCGCCTCCAGAAAGCTCACGGGAGATACCCTCCAGGACGCCGATCAAAGACAGGACCGCAAGCAGGAGCTGGAGACAGAAAGTGAGGTGGAGACATCTTTTGGAAAGAGACAGGGAATGGTAACTTCCTGTGGGATGGAAGTCTGGGAGTGTGAGGACAGTGGTAGAGCCCACATCAGCAAGGTTATCCTTGCAGGGGACAAGCCAGACTCACCCATGTGTGGGAACGGTGCTATTTGGATTCAGCAGGTGGAAGAGAAAAGCTACGAGTGTCCTGAGTGTGGGAAGAGCTTCAGCCGGAGCTCGTACCTGAGCCAGCACCAGAGGATCCACCTGGCAGAGAAACCCTTCAGCTGCTCTGAATGTGGGAAGAGTTTCACCCGCAACTCGGACCTGATCAAACACCAGCGGATCCACACTGGTGAGAAGCCCTACCAGTGCAACGAGTGTGAGAAGACCTTCAGCCAGCGGTCCAATGTGATCAGGCACCAGCGGACCCACACAGGAGAGAGACACTACCAATGCAACGAATGCGGGAAGAGCTTCAGCCAGAACTCACATCTCATCGTCCACCAGCGAAGCCACAAGGGTGAGAAACCCTTTAATTGCCCCCGGTGTGAGAAAAGCTTCAGCGACCGTTCCTCTCTGATCATACACCGGAGAGTCCACACTGGAGAGAAGCCCCACAAGTGCCAGGAGTGCGGGAAGCGTTTCCGGGACAGCTCGGCCATCATTCGGCATCAGAGGATCCACACGGGAGAGAAACCGTATGAGTGCACTGAGTGTGGGAAAACCTTCCGGCAGAGCTCCTCACTGGTGACCCACATGCGAACACACACGGGCGAGAAGCCCTACAAGTGCCCCGTGTGCGGGAAAGGCTTTAGCCAGAGCTCGGCGCTCACCACTCATCGCCGGATCCACGGAGGGAAGGCCTTGCCCACGTACCATGGCGGCCTCCTGCCCAACCTCTACCAGTGCATTGAGTGTGGCCGGAGGTGCAGTGACCGCTCCACTCTGGCCAAGCACCAGACCACGCATGCCGAGGAACGGCCCTACATCTGTGTGGAGTGCGGGGACAGCTTCCGGCGGAGCTCGGCTCTCAACGTGCACCTGAGGATCCACCGCGGGGAGAGACCCTACAAGTGTGAGGAGTGTGGAAAAACGTTCAGGCACAGCTCAGCCCTCGGTGCCCACCTGAGGATCCATGCAGGAGCCAAGCCCTACGAGTGTGGCGAGTGTGGGAAAAGCTTCCGGAAAAGCTCGACGCTTAAAGTGCATTTGAAAATCCATGCAGCCAACAAACCGTATAAATGTACTGTGGGTAGGAGAATGCTCACTTCCCGCTCACTTCTGCCGTAAGGCTGGAGCGGATGTTCGGAGAAGGAAACAGCAGCAGTGTTTGGGGGGGTACCTGAAAAAGGTGAGTGATGAGAATCATGGTGGGAGGAGACTGACTGGAGACATGGTAACTCTGCTGTCAGGGCTGGGTGCTTAACCCCAGCAGCACAAAAACCATTAGGAGGTCTGGAAGCAGGGAGTTAGTCCTAAAAGCCGAGTGCTAGTGGTTTAGGAAAAGTGCTGAGAGCCTGGGGAACGGGCACCAGCTTCTGGGTAAATTGGGGACTGTGAATATGTGGTAGAGTAACAACTGGGAGAATCAGGCTTTTAAAACAAGTTTACGAAGATCAAAATGAAAAGTTCCAGGTTGGTTCTGACTCAAAACTTTGGCTTGTTAGACACCGTAGTAATCTTAGGAACTCTCTTTTTATTACCTTCCCTTATTTTTCATGAATGTAGTAAGTTTACCCAGTGTTTGACAAAGTGCTTCCAAATCTTTTGAGTCTAAGACTTTGGAGCTGAACTTCAATCTATTTGTCTTTTCTTCCTCTTTTCCAAATCTTACATGGAACAACGAATTCCTACCTCTGCACACAAAGCCTGAGCGACATAATAGCTGAGTAACGCAAAACTGCCAAGGCTGTTCCCAGAAAACAAGGATGCGCAAGCATTTCCAGTTGGAACGCTGCCCATTACTAGTCTATGGCAGCTTCTGCCAAATTTGTCCTTGCTGGTTTGAAACATCTTCCAACTTGGGACAATAACAAAACATAGGCAAAAATGTGGCCTTACTTTATTTAACCAAAAAAAAATATCCCCCCCCCCACCCCCCCCCCCCCCACCGCCCCCCAC